TTCCTTAGGCAGCGGTGGTCAAATACCTCAAGTCGTAGCTCATCTTCAACGCGCAAAGCCAAGCATTCAAATCCATAGAGGAGGACCGACCGGACGGATGCGCGGTGCACATGGATCTTTCTTGTCGATGGAGCTTTCGTGTCGGAGTCACGTGCGCTTTCAGAGAAAACCGGCCAAGCAACATTAATTCAGGGGAAAATGTCGTCCTCACTTTGTCTATTAGGTAGCATCCTCCCCCCGACGTATTTAAAGATTTCTAACTTTTTAAGTTGACGGCCATTAATCCTCAGGGATGCCTTCTCCTGGTCAGGGATACAGCTCAATAATAATTTGGTCTTCCCAGTACTTAGGGGGAATCCAACCAACATAGCGATCTTATTCACCCGTGACACTGCAGACTGTAGATCTGCAAAGCAAGGTGTTCCGGTGACGTTTTTTCGTCCGTTAATAATTTGGTTAGGCAAACCCTGCTACACATACCGACTGTCGATATGAATTCACAACCTCTGTGGATGTGATACCGCACAGCTGCAGCCCTCCACTCTATTTCAGAACAAAAATTTCAAGTGCGAAGTCAAAGCAAAGGATCAGGTTACTGACAGCCACTATACAGTTGCGCAAAACAAATCTGGGCAAACCTTATGACTGCAACCACTCTCTTACGAAAAAAACGATGCGAAAACGTCTTAGATTACTGCAATGAAAACCACCTTCATACCCGGAAAATGTGAACTGTTGTATATATTATAATATGGCATAATTATGCGGTTTCTAGCATTATAAAATGTGTACCGAATAATTCTTGAGGATATGGGAAAAAAATTAAAAAAACAAAGACAATTATTTCTGTGATTTGAGTCTGTTTTTAGAAATCGAGATGACGGTAGATGTAGGCGACATTTGAAGGTTATCGGATGGACTGCATATTGATTGTAGGACAAGCTTTCCCAATGATATTACGATTCTTAACTACTTAAGCCCTTGGAGCATGGCTTTTTCGACATTCAGAGCATCTGTGATCTGCTTTTTGTAGATTCCAGGCTGCATCTCTCAGAGGCTAGTGAAGGTGGTAGTAAAGTTGCACGCATGATACGTTTCCTTTGCCTGTGAAAAGCCATTGGTCGCCTTGCAAGTTAGAGAAAGCTATCGTGTGTGGATTTGGTTGGAGACAACAGAATTGGCTAGCAGCTCAATGGCTTTGGACGCATGTATTTAGGCCAGCCAAACCATTTTCCGTCAGAAATACTAATGGGCGAACGGACGCAAAGCACTCCTTAAATCGCGATCGCGGTTGGTGTCTGAAACCTATTTGCGGATATCCGCTTCCCGGTGGAAAGACAAGATAAAAGCCAACGGCTTAGTCTATATGTTATAGAAAGAGCCAGAATGAATGGTTGCCTAAGAACAAGAGCGTGCGCAATAGAGAGCACGTAAATACACAAAATTTGTTGAATGATAACGATTGGTTAGCGCCCACAACTTACTGAATTATACGGGTAATTCAATGAGAGCGGTGAATATAATTCTCAATTTAGGAGAAAAATTAAATGATTTCCGTCTATTTCAAGATTATAGCAAGCCTTGTGTAAGATAACGCCGACTATGTAGTCTGATATGATAGCGTCGATTGTTTAACGAACTAACGCCATGATAATCAATCCAATAAATAGAAGCAAACATCGTCGCAGCGAACGTAAAGATTATCCTGTCAAATATGCGGATTGCAAGTTGAAGAAACAGTCGCAAGACTCCAGCGATGAGATGTACTTTCTTTAATCACACACTTTACTAGGCCTTCATCCCAGTTTCGACCTCGCTGTCGCTGGTATGATAGCTGGAGGGCAAATTATTGTAGAGGTTTGGGAATATCGTACAGGTCTGGTTCCCAAATCGGCTAATTTATTGATGTCCAAGTCACAGGGCAATCATATAAAAGATAGTGTTCGATTTCGACTCATTTTCACCATGACGCAGTGTGCAGGAGGCGCAAAAAACATTAACACCTCCGCAATAGCCGCTTGGCCCTGGTGTTAATGTGACTGCCTGTCTGTTGGACGGAAGTTTCCTTATTTCGCGCCAAACCTCTGTTTCTAACGTCTCTACTATCTACCTCTCATAGCCACACCTAGTAGCCAGCACCTAGTACGTTAGGTAGTCCTCGTTTTCTGAAGGACTGAAAAAGAGCTTTGACATGACAGAACGTTGTTATTATGATACCAGATCAGGTATTCACCTTTTAGGTCCCCAACCCTGTCAGCTTTAATACAAACCTCTTCAATAATGAAAGGTTCAGAGCCGATTATTTGAGCAAACTCTTCAGCGCAAATCGACAGCTTTGGAATGGTCCACACCCAGATGGTAAAGTTAGACGTGCATATATATAATTTTGTGGAGAGTTTAGAGCTTTAAGGAGTGCAAAGAGTAAATATCGGTAATACAGGGGTATAATCACATATGCTACTTTATTAAGAATAGTAATCTCGTTTCTTGGATTCTTGTTCCATATAGAACTATATGATGTACCCACAAAAATTTAAGTTAGTCCAAGACATGTGATAGAAGAAGCAGTCTATTCCTACCTGGAAACGCGGACCAACAAATCCACAGAGGTAGAGGTAGGATTGCGGTGTGTTCTTCAAAATTAATCTTTTATCGAAAACAAAACTCCAAATTTTCAGAAGGCCACAGAAGATTTGAGAGTACAGACGTGATCCATCAACGTGTTCTGTGTTGGTGGCGGGTAAATTGACGGCCGCCCGCAAAATAACAGATGGAGACGACATAATTGTTTCCGCCAAAATTTGTCGCCATTCTTCGTTGAGAGCACGATTATCAAGAAGTCGTTGTTCAATCAGCAAAATATTTTTTGCAGCCGATTCAATACTTCCATTGTGGTAAACATCACGAAGAATTTGTGCACTAGGTACTTTTTCATTTTCCGAAGCTTTTAGAGAAGCTACTTTCGGTTGAAGATCAATTACACACGCGGAGTCAAGCTTGTTGTTTAGAGTATTGGTTTGATGCTGTCCGTCTAGGGATGTTTTCTTGATGAGGTTGATCACGCCATCGGAAATGGAACAGGCGTACAGAAGATCATGAAGGGAATACCGGCTTACACAAATGGGAGGTGGCGCGGATTCAGTTTGGGCTTTGAGAGTCATTCGTAAAAGAGCTGGTAAACTGTTTGAAATAAGGAGCTCATCGGCAATTGGAATGAAAGTTTCCAAAGGGCTTTTAGTAAGGTCAAAGCAGTCCTGAGACGCACACCAAAGGACACATGTACGATATGTAAACACGAGTATGCCTACACACCAGGAATACAAAGACAGGATATTAGTTCTCTTTTCTTTGAATATGGCGGTTAACGACTTAATAACAGAATTTACATCTTCCACAGTCTTTAGAATGTCCATCGTTTCGAGGTCACAACGGTCAGAATTGCGCAAGACGTTGAATTCAATTATACACAATACCAGTGTGAGAACGGCAACAGATTCGGGACTTTCTACACACTTATTAATCGCATCAATAATTTGTGTCTTTAATGTACATCGCAAAGATAACGGTGCATTAGTAAATATTTTCTTAATCTCTGAGCAATATTTTAAGAAAACCGAGATTGGGGCATGTGACTCGATCTGTTCTTTCAGCAGCCTTCGAACTTTTAGGATGATATATCCAGTCTTTTTGCGATCCCTGAATGGAACCAAAGCAAGGAATTTAGCAAGCGGGTCCGCGTCAGGGCACATGGTAGCTCATATGTTCCGCGGCAATATAAGTCAGTTAAAACAGTCACTGGTTGTTGAAAGACGAAGGAATTTGGTCACTCAGTCGCAATTAATTTTTGTCATTTAACAAAAATTTTCTGGTAAGTTGTTAAAAAAATGCGAAAAATAAAGACTCCACCTAAAATGAAGACGGCAACTACGGGAGAAACGAAAAGACGGTGTCTACAAAAGGATGCTCAATTTTCTTAATCTGCAACCTTATCCTAGAATTTAACTTAACATTTTAAAATATTCGAATAATCATAATGAACTATCTTAGCCTCCCAGAAATACTTGCGCTTTTTGTTTTGACCATTAAATTAGGATATGACTGTCTATATTCTCCGGACAGAATCTTTTCCAACATTATTTCTAATTCATGAGATTTTCTGGTAAAAAATAGGAGTTCAAAGGCTAATCCTATTTTTTCCTTAAATACACTGACTGTATTTTTGGATTCGAAGTTGCAGGTAAAATTATCTTAATCGATTCCCCTACAGTAAGGCAGCTCGAGCACTCTCGGTGCGCCAGTCATCGAGGTGTGTTTTTATTTCTTCCTATGGC